GACACCTACATCTTTAATACATTCACTGTATCAGTAAAATAAATATAAGGGGATGCTGATTGAGAACTGAGGTCTGTTGCCTAGTATTTTTTGATCCTGCCTGGCTTTGCTTGCTGTGGTAGGGCTGATGTGGGAGCTGGTGGCTATGACAGACTCCCCATCTGCCAGCCACATTTGCCTGTAGCCGTAGTGATTTTGGATGTAGAAGCAGCTGCATGCTCAGACATGCAGGCAGAGTTTAGGGGTAGAGCTGGATATAGTACATGCCAGGGTGAGGCTCTAATGAAGGCAGGGGCTGTTTCTGCTGGGTGGTGAGGGCAGGAGGATCTGCTGAGCCTGATCTTTTTCTCATGTCTCTACACCAGATATGACCATTTTGCTACAAATGCTTGTACTCATTTATTGTACTTTGCAAGATCTTTCATTGTACATGTGCCTTTAAGAAGTGGGCATTGCAGTAGGTGTTGCATAGTCTTAGGTTCTGTGCCGTAGGCACAGGTAGTTGAGCCAACGGTATTGCCCCATGTCTTCATTAGTTCCTTGGAGAGTCCGACTCCAGTATGTAGGTGGTTGAGACATTGCCAATTTTGGCATGGTTCATCAGCTCCTGGTGGTAAGGCATTGGCTGCTGGAAATTTCATTTTTTGCTGTCAGGTATTTTCTTCAGCCTCTTGTTCCACATCTGTAGTCGACGTGTCTCCTTAGGTGTGGCATCAAGGTGGGGTGATGGTTAGGAAGCTCCTGCATGACTTCAGATGTTAGTGTGCTGCAGGATGGTCGCACAGCAGGTGTCTCACATCTTCAGTTTGTCTCAATCTTTCTACCCTGCTCTTCTGATGTCAGGTGAAGTGATGCCACCCAGCAGGTATGTGCTGCTTAGGCTGGTAGGCCTGATGAGTCTGATGGGTGCTTCTCAGCACAAGCTGTACTGATTTCTTATCTTTCATTAGATCTTCACCTCAGCATGTATCAGCTGGCAGCTCCAGCACCCCCATTTATGCCAAAGTGACTAATGCTAAAGTGTAGAGAACATGGGAACTTCCTGTAAGAGTTGTACAACCACAGAGTGTGCCTCGCTTTCCTTGGCATGGTTATGCACTGGGGTTAAATGGTTTAACTTTAGCCCTAAGCTGGGCAAGGTGTGGGTATTGTCTGGCTTGGTGTGAAATGGGGTATGGGGAACTCAAGAGGAAGAACACCTTGTCAAGGACAATGGGCATCCCCTGGAATTGGATATAGATGCTTAACAGCTGGGGGCAAACCATTAATCCCCCTGGCAGGGACAGACATGTCATTTAGAATGGGGGAGAAGGGCAGGGAGAGAATAGGTCTAGTCAACACAGGAAAGAGTTGCCAGCAGGACTCCTATTCATATCTGGTGGGTTGCTTAAAGGGGTGTAGTCTCTTTGGGAGATAAGCCAGCTAAAGCTCACTAGTGGGGTTGCAGAAATGGCAAACCTCATGTCTTGCGCTGAGGCTGGGATTCCCTTTGTTCTTGTGCCAGGCCTGTGTGCTCTGCCCTATAGAGCCACCTCCTTGGGGGGTGCTGCCTGGCACAATGGGTCAGTGCCAGCAGGATTTGCAGCAGATCCACATGAGCAGTGCTGCAGCATGCCTGCTCCTGCTAGGGACTGGCTCAGCCACTGAATATCATTGAGCAATGGTCTGAGATGTCACTCAGCAGCAGTACCGCATAGCACCCCCAGGGCAGGGGGTAATATTCATTTAACACACGGCATCAGCGTGGCCCTTGGGCGACATGGAATAAGCCAAGCAAATGGGCCTCTTGGACAGCTGCTGTAAATCGATATTATACACTTGAATGTGTAGGAATTCACTTCAGCCCCAACCTGCAGCTCCTAGTTATCCCAGCTTTGACACTGCCACTTAGCCAACTCCCCCCCTACCCCCACCCCTCACAGCTGTGCTGGGGCCTGGCTCCTGACCTGCAGCCCCCTGCTCCATCAGTCCTGGGCCATGCATAGCTTGACTGGTGCCCCTCAATCCCAAACTGCAGCCATCAGCCCCCTGAAACTTCAGTCCTGCTCCCATCCCCCAACTCTGCCAGTGCCCATCCATCCTGGCCTGAATGCTTCAACACTGGACACCAGAACAGAAATTGTGAGCAAGGTGGTAATTCTGTGGTGCAAACACTGCAAGAAATAGGGCTAACACCATGGGCAGCACATGCGGGTTTGTTACAATTGGGTCGGTGGTGGGCACTGGGTGCACCCACAGGGTTGTGGCTGTAGGGTCACTGCTGTGACCTACATGCCTGAGATTGCCTGGCCCAGCTGTGCTGTGGGGGCTCTGGGACTGACTGACATGGGTGTCCTGTGGCAGTGGGGTTGGTGACTGATGGGCCAGATGAACTGAGGGCTCTACAGTTGGCTGGCCCAGATGTAACGGGAGGGGGCTCTTCAGTGAGTACCCCAGATGTGTTGGAGGGGACTTCTGTGACTGAAGCTGGGAATTGTATGGGCGGCTCCATGACCAACAAGCCTGAGAGTGCTGTGGGGGGGACCCTTTGCAGTGGTCTGTCCAGTTGTGTCATGAGGGTTTGAGTCACCTCTTAACCTTCTCTTGGCCAAGCTGTAGAGCCCGAGCCCTGGTAGCCTCTTACTGACAGCTGTTTTCCCAGCCTGGAGGCACCCCCATGGCACCCTCTTGAGTTTGCCAGTGTGCTCTTGGACAACACAGCCAGGCAGAGAGAGGCAGGAAACCTTTGACAGAACATTTGTGTGAAATGTGAGTTCCTCAGCACCTAGGCTCCTGAGCCGGCAAAACTTCCCCAGGTTCTGGGCGAAATTTCTGGTCAGACAGCCGCTAGTCCAAGGCACTCGCCTGGGGTGTGTGTTATGGAGGAACTTAGGTGAGTGCCCCAGCCCTCCGTGACTGGGCGTTCTGGGGGCTGGTCCCCCAGTACAAATAATTCAATATTCATGGCAGCAGGATATTGAATTGGGTCTTCCGCAGCCCCTCTGAGAGCTCCAGCTGCAGCCATACAGTCATTCCCGTTCGCCCTATTTCTGTTCCCATTCACGTTGAATGAGTTCTGCAAGGTAGAGCCAACCCAAGAGGAGAGACCCACCTCACAGTCCCTTGAGTGAGGGGGTCAGGACCCGCCCAGGAACCCCCAAGTTCAAGTCCCAGGTCAAGACGGGCAGAGCAAGGCTTTGAAGCGGGCGTCTTCCACACGCCAGGCTGCTGCCCCGAGTTCTGCACTACACCACCCTTGCTGGGCAGTGCTGTGGAAAGTCTTAGTTTTGAGGCAGGATGAAAAGCCTTGTCACTTCTGAGGGCCAGCCCTCCTCTCCCCATCCTGCGTGCAGTGAACGTCCCCTCCTCTCACCAGTTCCCTTGTCACGGCAGCCAACTGCTGCCTGCACACTCCTTGGGCACTGCCATGTGCTGACACCTCACATCCCCCTCTTCACCTTCAGCAATTTCCCAAATCCTCCTCCGAAGTAATGCTTTTCCTGTCTCCTGTGGGTTTGGCTTGCTCTCAGGGGCTTGACCTTATGTTTGGCTGTGTCAACACTTCTGACTGGACTTGGCTCTGTTACTGCCACCCGCCCCCCGTGTCCTCTCAAGACTGGCAGATTTAACCAGCACTGGCTTTCACATTTCATTGCTCACAGGTATTGACTAGCACTGGGTTGAGACAGGATCCCCCAGGGGACTACTCAAAACACCCATTCATTGGTGGGTCTCTACAGACAACTGCACTTTGAGATGTACTTGGCCATACTGTAATCCTGCCACCGCGAGGCATCGGTTCAGGAGAGTACTTGGGCTTTAACCTGAGCATTGCATAGTGCTGAGTCAAACACTTGGTTTCCCCTGACGGAAATCACAGGCATGGAGGGGTGTGTGAGGCAAGGTGCAGGCCCTGCTAGGCCCAGGTCCTATGTGGAGACTCACAGGGAGGTGGTGGAAGCACCCTGCGATGACTGTGCTCGCACCTGGCCCCTGCCTCTGCCCTGCAGCTGGATGGATGCATGTGTTCACAAGCAATCATCTGCTTTGCCGCCTGGGCTCACGATGAGCGAGGAGCACGTCTTGCTGCTTTGACAGCGGATCTGTCAGACTGCGGCCCGTCAGCCTGACAGCTTTATCACTGCAATTCAGCCTTCCTGCATGGGCGCCTCCAGCTTGTGGGACTCGGAGAGTGTGGGGGAGAGGAGAGAGCATCCGGGGAGCAGCGTGGGGTGAGCGCTCTCCAAGGTGACCTGCCCAAGCAGGCTTGATGTAGCAGAGCTGCAGTGGGGTGGACAGCATGCTTGCTGAGGAGCACTGGGATGCACCAGCCAGAAGCTGCCCCGTGCACGGGGCACATGGGCCCCTGGCAGAAGCCACAGCCTCCCTCCTTTCCCCAGGTGGTAGGGCTGGGGGGCAGGCCTAGGCACAGCTCTGGGGTAGCAAGGTTCCTGGGACAGCAGCGATACTGCAGGGGTGGTGCGGCAGATCAGACACCCACAGCCACAAGTTGACCCCATAGCACAGGCCCCATCCCAGCACCTTTACCCCAGGGCTGGAGACTGCAGGGACTGAGGGAGGCTCTGAGAGGGGTGGCAGGCAGCGTAGGGAGGGAGCCACAGGCTCATGCTATTACAGGACCTGCAGCCACCACACAGCAACCAACTTGTGGAGGCAGCACACGGGACTGTGGGGGGAGGGGGGTGTGCCTTCCCCTTGCTGAGGGGGGCTCCCTGTTAGTAGCAGCTGGGGGCTGGGAAGTAGCCCCTGGCCAAGCCAAGCCCGGCTTGCACCTCAGGACCCTTTCTGTGAAGCCCCACGAGCAAAGGCCTGGTAGGAAGGCAGAGGGTGTATGGCAGGGCTGGGCCCAGTGCCAGCTGTGTGTCACACTGGGTGGGCAGCATAGAGGCTTTGCACTGTTTTATTGGGTGCTGGTACATCATACACAGCACAGACATTCAGTATGTACATTTGGCAATGGAGGACAGCGAGTGACCAGTGCACACATGGACACGCTCCCAGTCATCTCCCCTTGGTGAGAGACCCATGCTCTGCTCCCAGTGTCCATCCTCTGCTCCCAGTGTCCATCCTCGTGCTGGGGGCTGCAGGCAAGCGAGGGCCCTGTTCCCTGGCCCCCTGCCACCCCAGCAGGGCTCTCTTGTTCCTCCTGCAGAGAAGACTGTCAGGAGTTCATGGGGGCATTGTGGGGAGTGAGGGGCAGGGGGTGTCAGTGGGGGTCCGGGTATACATGACGGCTACATACACAACAGCTCCTTCACACTGTGGGTGGGCAGGGCCAGCACTGCCAGGGGCATCAGTGCCTCACAAACGTCTCTGACCTGCCTTACCAATAAATTATCGCTCTATTCTCCTCCTGGCCCTGGGTGTCCCCTGGGACTCCTCCAAGCTCCTACTGTAGGCAGCCCTCCCAGCAGCCCAACCAGCTTCACAGCAAGGCAGGCAGCAAGTGCAGAGGCTCACGGGTCAGGCTCTCCACATCCTCCTGGGTACATCCAGGAGATGAGACGTGCCCCCCAGGCACCCTGCTAATGCATGTGGAGTCCAGGAATGGGACAGAGCCCACTCACATGCTCAGAGAGAGGAGTCCAGTCATGCCAGTGCCTGGCCCAGCTAGTCAATGAACCTGTTTTTGGGCCTGTGGTCCGGAGCCCTTCCCCAGCCAGGATACCAGCTCTCCTGGGTGCCCTGGGAAGAGCTGCTGGCAGGCCAGGCTGCCTGGGTGTCTCCCTGCAGTTGAAGAACTATAGGGTGCGGATGGCCACTGGGTAGAGCAGGGACATGTGCTCAGCGCCCTTGATGGGCAGCTTGCGGCTGGCGTAGTGGTGGATGATCTCAGGGACGCTGTCGAATGGGGGGCTGTGCTGGCCCAGGATGTACTTGTTTTCCTGGGTTCTGGAGAGTTTCATGTGCATGAAACCCTGGCTGCTCCTGTTGGGAGAGACAAAGCCAGAGTTAGTGTGCCAATACCACCCTGTGCCCTCCCCCATAACTGCAGTCACTTTCTCCCCTGCCTTGCAGCCAAAGCAGCACATCTTCCTTGAGCATGCCATGAGGAGTGTGCGCGCGCAGGGCAGGCCATGCCAGGCTACTTTGCTCCTTGTCTCAATGCCCTGATGTGCCATTTGTGCAAATCCTGGCACATCAGGGCACTGACTATCCTGAGGTCTCACATATAACATGGATGAACAGCAGGAGGCCAGAACCATGGTTGAGCTGAACCCTCAGAAGAGCCATGCTCCCTGCAACAAGCAACCCCAGAGGGCTGCAGGACTAGAGGAAGGAATGGGCCAAGGAGTTCCCCACTGTGGGCTATGAGGCACTCCCACAGCAGCATGGAAGGACAGGCTGGGCCCAGCACAGGGCTCTACCCCAAGTGCACCAGGAGATGGCTGTATCCAAGTGAGGGATGGGGTCCACCTCAGCCTCTGCCTCAATACCACCTGCTGTCAGGAGGGCAGAGCCTGACCCATGGACAGGAGGGAGATGCCTCCATCTGTCTGAAAGAAAGTGCCTCCTGGACCTGACTGTTTTTGTGCTACCAAGCCTCAGGGCAGTTGCCATCTGCATCCACAGGCTGGACTGTTTGCATGTGGTATCTGTGAAGTACCATCCAGATCTGAGCAGGGGGTCACCCAGAACACAGCCAGCACCCCATGCATAGAGGACTCACCACCCACACACCTGATCATACTCCATGCAAATTGCATACATGCACATGACACCTGAATACCACACATGCTCTCTTGCCCACTGAGAATGAATGGGCAGGGTTGTACAGGTGGCACCTGTACAGGAGCAGGCGCAGCCCCAAGCCTGGTGTTCTCCACACCACAAGGTACAGAGCCCCCTTCCCCTGATCCCAAAACCTGCTTGAATCTGGCCACCCCAGAACTTGGTCTAGTTTCCACTCCAGGAGCAGCACTCTGGCTCTGCTGACTCCAGCAGGTGCTCAAGGACAGGCAGGGCCTGAGATCCGGGGCTGGTAGTAACAACAGCTTACCCCATTCCTGGATCCCTCTCCTGGGATCCCCTTGCAAGTCCCAGGAAGGGGGCAGGGACTGTAGGCCTTCCCTGAGCACTGCTGAGAGACCAGAAAGAGTGGGCAAGGAGAGCGCCCACCCTCAAGCACCTTTCAGGGGCTCCTGGCCCACTGGAAAGGCCAGAGCCAGCATAGGCAGGGATGACCAAGAAGGATGGGGCTGTAGGTATCTGGGGGGGCATATTGCATTAGGAATGAACAATTAAACTGGTTCTCTCATCTAGCACCTCCAAAGAATTGCATCATTCAATGACAGCCTGGGCAGCTGCAGGGGAAGAGGCATCAGAGGTCACTTAACACTGTGAGGAGAGGGAAGGGCTGGCACTGTTCCTCAGGCACCTCAGAGCTCCGCTGTGACAGGACCTCACGTGCACAGGAGACCCCAGACCATGAACCCACCTCCCCCCAGAAACTGAAGACCAAGCCATGCCTCCCAGACCTCACGTGCACAGCTCTGGCTGGTCTTTGCCAAGGCCAACATGGGGCAGCATGACCACTTGAACCTAGCCTCTGCCCAGGCAGTCAACCAGGGCACTCACAGAGACAGAGAACCAGCTGTGTGGGACACGTACCAATCACCTGGGACAGTGCTCAAGTGCCTGTACTCTGCCAGGATGGCATGGGGCATGGGTCTGAGAAGTGAGCATGCTAGGACCCGATGTTTCACTGCACTGTACTCCCTGACAGAGCTGAGGGCAGCTACAGCTGTTCCAGCAAAGCAACTTCATCCCTCAAGTTTCTGGCATGTTACCAAGCAACACCCAGCAAGAAAAGAGTGGGAATTACCCTCATCAAGCACTTTAGAGAAATAAGCAGACACGCAAGGCTCTCATGTTCAGGGCCTAGAGTGAAGACAGTGGTAGATAAGATGTCTTCCCACTACTGTTGCCTATTCCCATGAGGTCAGTATGTCAGTGATGTGGTGCCAGGCAGCCTACAGGCCACATGCCATATTGCAACTGAAACCAAAGCCTTGGTAACTCTTCCCACCACACCCACTGCTTTCAGGACAGACCACACAATCTTAAAACCCAGCTATGGGTGAACTATGCAACACCAGGCAGCATGGAGCTGCAGGTGCCAGAGGAGAGGCCCAGGAGCTGAGGCTACAGCAGACGGAAATAACACAAGCATCCCTGATGTTCACGGCTGGACAGTATGGCATCAGTGCCATGTGGCCACTGCAAGCTACAGGCAAAGGTGCTGGGGCATGCATCACCCAAGCTTGTCAGGAGCTGCATATACCCTACTGCACCAGCCCTGGACACCTGATCACATGCTTTCTTCCTAGTGAACAGCCACTCCAAAGCCCTCAGACAGATGCTGCTCTGACACAGCCCTAATGCACTCTGAAATGGAAGGGACAGACACAGCAGGTTCCTGGAACTGAAAAAGGGCTGGTTAACCCATGACTACCTGGTCAGTGCCCTGGCAGCTGTCTGGAGGGCAGGGGAGGGGACTCCTACCACTCATGCCCACAGCCTAAGTGACAGACCTTGCAGGGCACCTGTCAGTGGAAGGCAGGGTACTTATTGGAGCAGTGGAGGTGCCAGGGAGGATGTCCATCACAGAGGTGGTGCGTGGCATTGGGCAATCCTGGAGCAGTGTGAAGGCATGCACTTAGGGATGACTTGAGAGGTAGGCAGTCCTCTCTCTCTCTGGGCTTTCCAGGGAGCTCTTATCTCTATGGCTCATTTCCGGACTGCCAGAGCAAGGGGCTATGCACCTCATGACTCACTCAGCCAGACTTGCAGGCAGGCCAGGGAGTTCTCTCTCTCTCTCTGTGGGCCTCAATCTGACCCAAAAAGCAGCTCCCCCCACCACCACCCTGCTCCTTCTATGAACTCTGTGAAAATCCCATTAGCCGCACTAAGGCCCATTTCCTCAAGCCACAAGGGCTCAGCGCCATCTGAGGCTGCGCAGGAAGATAATGCCACAGGCACTGATTCCAAGTGACGGGCTAATGGCCCTGTTGCTATTAATTTGTGTCTCCAAGGAGAGCCACAGCCTGTCTGTAGCGTCTGGAATGCACATTACTGCAAAATATTGATGTCTTAAAAGCAGACGGGGCCTCATCAGCTATGCTGAGCCACTTCCAGAGCTGCGTAGAGTCCAGTCTCATCCCCCTTGCCCCCTCCCACCCTCCCCACAGTGCCCCCTCACCAACCCTGAAAGCAGCAGCTGGAACTCAGGCAGAGGCTATGCCCATAATGGATTGATCGCCTGCATTAGCAGAATGGCTTGCCATCCAGCATACAGCCAGCTGTCTGCCGATTGGGGGAGGTAGCTGCAACAGTGATAGCAACTCAGCTCATGCAGGCAGCTCCCCACAGAGCTCCCAGGGTGCCACTGGGAGGGCTGCAGATAGGCGAGGGGTGTGATCCAGTTCACTCCACCCACCTGCTAGGATCAGAGGTGCTGCAGGGAGCACCAATGCCCAGCCTCTACTCTGTCCCTTATGCACAGAACCCCACAGGCAGCTGGTCTGCAATCCGTAAGAACATAAGAATGGCCATTTACTGGGTCAGCCCATAGGTCCATCTTGCCCAGTCTCCTGTCACACAGGGGCAGAGAGCAGATGCTGAAAGGGAGAGTGAAAAGGATATGACCAGTGTTTTTTCCACCGTTCCTCTCTCACTTGCTGCCTCCAGCATTTAAGATCTAGGAAGGCCTGATTCAGACGTTGTGCCCCTAACTCCTGTGGCTCAACAGCTACTGATGCACCTTTCCTCCAAGAATGTGTCCAATCCCTTTTTTGAATCTGGCTAAGCTGTCTGCTTCCACAACATCTGATGGCAAGGAGCTCCACACTTTAATTGCACACTGTGTGAAAAAGAAATTCCTTTTGTTAGTTTTAAACTTGCTGCCTACTGGTTTAATTTTGTGACCCCTAGTTCTTGTCTTGTAAGACAGTAAATAATACATCCCTAGTTAGTTTCTCTTTGCCATTTAGTATTTTGTAAACTCTTATGTCCTCCCTCAAGTGTCTCTTTTCTAAACTGAATAGGCCTAGCCTCTTTAGTTTCTCCTCATATGGAAGCTCCTCCATGCCACTAATCATCCTTGCTGGCCTTCTCTGTACCTTCTCTATCCTTTGTGAGGTTTGGGGACCAGAACTGGGCACAGCATTCAAGGTATGGATGCACCAGGGATTTATAAAGGGCCATAAAGCCCATGGTCTCCATGTCACAGTAGCTGCCAGAGGCAGGTTCCCTACCCAGTCACGGGGCTGTCCTAACCTCTGCCAGCTCTGGCCATCACAGAACCCAAGTCTTGGAGGCAGGAGCCCCTGTGGGGCTAAGTTGCCTTGCCCCATGTGCTCTGTTCCCATGCACTCCAGCCCACGCTCCATGACAGAGTGGTGCTGACCCCGTGATCCCAAGGCAATTCCTGCCTCAGGCCTCCAATATCTGAGGGGCCCAGCTAGCGCTGCTGGTGCCAGGCACCATTTGAAGCCTGGTGCTTGTGTTAGGCGATGCTTGGTGACAGCTGCCTGCATTCTCATAATATCTAGCCTCAGCAGCCTCTCCGGCCCTGCCCCTGCATTACGGGGTCAGTACAGAGTGGTGAGCCTGTGCCTCTTAGTGTCTACTTGTCCCAAGAAGGGCAGCTCCTGGGTGGGCTCAAGCAGCCAGCTGCTGTCACCTCCCTCATGCCCTTCCCTTTAGGCTGGCATTGCTCCTTGGTGGCCATGCCATGCTTTCACCGTGCTGACTCCTGCTAGTCTGGGCTCCATTTTCCAGCCTCTGCATGCTCAGAGACTGCTGCATTTACAACTCAATAGCAGCACACAGAGGAACCCTGGCTCCAGGACCAGCCACTCTCCCTGTCCCCTGTGGCAGGGGGAGCAGTTGGGGGATTTAGCCCTTGCAGACTGGTGATGGAAACATGGGTAGTAGCATACAAAGCACAGCCCCTGTGAAACACCATGGACATCATATCAGCATTGCCTACCAGGTGTGACCCCACTCGCCAAGACCAGGGCTGGGGCTGCTCCCTGTGGTCCAAGGGTGGGCAACCCTCCACCTCCTGCAACTGGCTGGGTGGGGGAAATAGAGCAGGGTGTTAAAATTTAACTGCTGGGTGGGGGAACTTCATAGACGGTTCACAATGGAATGGCTTGTGAGAACGTGTGTGTACAGGGGCTTACTCATGTGAACTCCTGTCTCCATGTGTGAGTACCTATCTGTACATACATGCACACATGCCCATGTCTCCATCTCTGGTGCATGAACCTGTACATGCAGGCACATATGGATGTCCCTACGTGTTGCATGTCAGTGTCAACACCCTGTTGCTGTTTGCACCCCCTGCTTCCTGCTCTCTCTCTGGTTGATAGGGAAGAGCTGCGGAAGCCACGGCCAAAACTTTGAACCCTGCATAAAGCTCCCACACCGCAAGACAAAGCAGCAGGAAGGGGCTGACCATGACATCTGGATGCAGGATACAAAGGTTTTTCAGGCTGGGACCTGGGAGCAGCAGGGTGATGGGACCAGTTCATTAGTGGAGCCTCCCTAGGTGGGTGGTGTTAGCACCAGGACAGCAGGCAGCAAGCACAGCCAGTGAATGCAGCCTTCTGCATTTCTGCTGTCCTTATTAACAGAGCTGGGGGCTGCTGGGCCTTCCCAAGCCTCATTCCACTAGGCAGCTCCACCCTGAGGCAGATGACCATCACAGCCCAGTGAATCCAACCACAAGCTCAGAGGCAAACCATGGAAGCTGGCACCAACCCTGGATGCAAGCCTTAGTTCCCAGAGCAGACCAGCCTGTGGCAGAGCAAGAACCTGGGCTGTCCAGCAAACCACAGGCACAAGTGTGCGTGTATGTCTCCTTCATGCAGCAGCCCCATGCACAGGCTCCATGCTGTATGAAGCAAGGTCCCTGTAAGGCACTATGACGTTCATACCAGCAGTGACTCTCAGAACCCAACTTGCTTGGCAAACCATATGTATGCTGCCATCCTAATCTCTGCCTGCTTTATCCATCACGGAGCCCAAGCCTTGGATGCTGCAGTTCCTGAGGGGCTAGGCTGCCCTGCCTACGTGCCCTGTTCCCATGCACTCCAGCCCATGCTCCATAACTGTATGCCAGCCCCATGAGCAGGCTCCATACCCCAGGGCAGGTGGGTGCAGCAAGAACCCAGAGAACCCAGCAAACTCCATGCATGCCACACCTGCTCACCCAGCAAACCCCATGCATGCCATGATGGGTAAACTTTGTGCTGTGTACCAGCCCCAGCATAAAGGGCACAGTGGGACTCCAGGCTACGTGCACGATCATGGAGGGTGACTATACAGGGAAATCGTTCACAGCAATTAGGGATAGGAAATGGCTTTGTTTTGGCCTGCAACACCTGATAAAGGCCCAGAGGGCTTGAGAACACATGGCCCTTGCATTAGGAGGACTGGGACAAAGAACTTGCCTGTTGCTCTGGTTGCTGCAAAGGTATGTACCAGCCTTAGTCAAACCCCTGGCAGCAAACCTGGCTAAGAAGCTAGGGACACTGATGTGCCAGTGCTGTGAAAGGCAGTGGCACAGGGGCTTGTCAGGAGAGACACTGGTGCTACTGCCCTGGCCCAGCCCCCAGGAATGCATGGGCTGGGACTGCCAGAGAGGAAGACGAGCAGAGGGAGGGTATGTGTGGGAGGAAGGGAGGTCCAGGCTGGGCAGGAACAGCCCTAGATCCAGCCATGTGTGCAGGGATATGTTAGGTAGAGGCCTGTACACTGTGCCCAAGGTAACAGCTGTCCTGCTCTGCCTTCAACTAGTAGCATTCAACTACTTATACAATCCAGCAAGGATTAAAGACAGAAAGACCACACTACGCCAAACAGAAAGGTCAACTGATTGCCCCCAAGGACTTTGTTACAATCACATGTGGTAAACAAGAGTGTGGGAATCAATGGGCTAAACCTGGTGTGCTGGCAATTAGGTCTAATTGGTGAACTGAATAACGAGTGGGTGGAACAGCTCGTCCATCACCCCTTTCCAGGGACAACAATATGACTCTCATGCCAGGAGGACTGGACAACACAAACCTTCCCCTCACGGCTGCCACCCCCACATACACCTCGCTCCTAGACCCCTAGGAACTGCAGTGCCACCTTCTCCTCCTGAGAGAGGATCAGATTAGTGCCAACCAGCCAGGGACCCAGAGGGCACTGCCAGACTTTGGTAAAATCCTGAACAGCTGCCAGGATGCAAGACACAGGCTTCTGCTACCACCCCTTCCTCAAGGGTCCCTTTTTCTTCCTTCACCTCTTTTCTTCTCTTTCCTCTCTCTTTTTTCCCTTCCATTTGAAAAAAAAAGACCCAGGAGTAGTGGCTGAGACCATTTTCTCCCCCATATTGCTGTGTACCTATGACTGAAAAGGAAGCTAAAAGCAGAGCTATGAGGAGCCTGAAGTGGACACATGTTTGCCAGGTCTCAGAGAGGCTGACATGACCGTGGGCACAGCCTGTGTTTCTCCAGCAATGACACTACATGGAAGTGTCACCACGAGACAGAAACAGCCCTTCCTCTCCCTGCCATTCTCCTCCCCCCTTTTGCGTGTATGTGTCAGGCTTTGCCTTCAAGGAAGCAGGATCAGGCTCCAACAACAACCACAGCAACAGCCCCAGCCCATTCCCATCTGAATACTTCTCTTCCAGAAAAGGACTGTTATTATCAGCTTTAAAATACCATGGAAAAGACTGTTGGATGGGGTTTCCCTTATAAAGACACTGCACAGCTGAAGGGCAAGGGCATGAGGGATACTGTTAAAACAAAAACATTACATAATAATCTATATTTTCCCTGGTTTCAGGGAAAAAGGACTGGAAGGGGTTTCCTGGGTCAAGCCTAGCCCAGCCCAACCCACTCTGAGACCACACTGTAACCCTATCACAAACCTATCACACTCCATCGACAGGTGGCATAGAAAGAGGCTAAAGGATTGTTAATAGCAAGTTGCTGCCTTGTGACTGAGCTAGCCCAAGTTTCTGTACCCCATGCCCTGAACCTGCTGTTCAGTAACAGGGTCACATTAACGGCATTCACTCTCCAGGCCCAAATGTTACATCAAAATTAATGCAAAAGACACACACCTCCTTCAGCCTCCTCATTTGGGTCTGGGTCCTGCCAACAACCGATGCACAGCTCCATCTCAGACAACAGAAACACCATCAACTTACTGCCAGTTTATCTGGCCAGCCATCATCCCTCTATCAACAACAGCACGCTCTGAGCCTATCCCACTGCATGCTAGCTCTCTACTGCCACTGACCTGGGCCCCACTGGACCTACCTACATTGTAGCAATCGCAGGATCTTGGTGAGGACAGAGCTGAGCATGGCCTGCCCACCTGCATCCACTGATGAACTCCAAACTTGTATTTTCCTGTAAGTCTACTGCCTTATTCCTAGTAGTCACTCTGAGGTTGGCTGGAGACTGAGGGATGAGAGCAGGTGCAGAGAGACAAAGCCCAGAGTGGCCTCGCTGACATATTTCTAGGTTTAGAATGTGCCAGTGGACAAAGGTGGACAGGGCCATGGGGTGTGCTTGGCCTCCTCACCAATACTCACCATGGCAGTGGTGCAGATAAGACCCATATTAGTTGTTGAGGCCACGGAGAGAAGTACAATAAAATCCACTGAGATGGCAATGTGTGGAGAGCCATACCAACCCTGCATGAAATATAGCTTGGGGAAAGTCTTTAGCAAGCAGATGAAGCTCAATAGTAAGACTTTGCTGCCAGGCAAAATCTAAGTGGGTAAACTGGAGCAGCAAACAAAGGCAATTTGGACAGAGACTGGAGACTGCTGTAGGACACAAACCAATGGCTTGAAGTTGCAAAGTAGGTTTAGATGGGATATCAGGAGAAATGTCTTCATTGTTAGAACAGTGATGCAGTGGAATAGACTGCCTTGGGAAGTTGTGGACTCTCCATCACTAGAGGTGTTCAAGAAGAGGTCGGACAGCCACTGGTCAGGGATGATGTAGGCATATGCCTATAGCTATGCCTATGTTCTACCGTGGGCCTTTCCCATGCTTCTGGGCTTTGCTGGTTACCCCCTTCCCCACTTTCTGCTACATGTGTCAGGGTGCTTTTAAACCTTCCTCAGAGGCATTGGGTATTGGCCACAGCCAAAGCTGGGGATTATGACTGGGGTGTACCAATGCCCCTTCTAGGACTTCAACCCAGAGGTTCCTGGCTAGAGGGTCTTGCCCCTCCATTCAGGGTCAGACTGGTTGTCATATTTGGGGTCAGGAAGGAATTTTACCCCATGATCAGACTGGCACATACTGTGGGGTTTTTTGCCTTTCACTGCAGCAGGGGTGTGGCCCTTTGCCAGGGATCTCTTGAGTGTATATTAACAACTTTTCTAGAAGCAGGACATTGGCTGCTGTAGTTCCCTGGCTTTGCCTGTGGCAGTTTAGGGTGTTATGTCTTGTGCTGTGTTAGGGTTGACAGTAGTCTCATGAGGAGTTTAGACTATGGTTTGTATGGGATGGTTTGGATAGGGATGATCCTGCCTCAGGCAGGGGGCTGGACTTGATGACCTTTGGAGATCCCTTCCAGCCCTATTTCTCTATGAGTTCTATGATTCTATAAGGAGAGTGTTTCTTTCCATTTGGGTCTGGTTCTAAACCAGGGGGCAGATACAGAACACAAGAGAATGACTGCTGACACCTGTCTGGGATTTGCTAAGCTTTCTCTTCTGCTGAAGGACAGAAAAGATTTCTGGTGCTTGAAGGGCAGGCCACCAGCCTGGTGGCTCTGCTGGGTGTGAATGCATGACCCGGAAGTACCATTTCAATGCAGCTCAGGATCTGAGAGCACAAAGACTTCTTGAAGAACCAGATTCAGAGACCATTTCCATAGATGCCACAAGGGGAAGAGTCAGCAGTATGGAAGCTGGAGAGAGTAGAAAATGAAGTGGACTAGTGATCTGATAAAATGTGCTAGGGTGATGTTCAAGCCAGCTAGGCGTACTGAGTGGCTGTCAGATACTCAGCAAGCCAACTATGGAGGAACCTGCCTTTGGAGGAAGAGGTAA